GGGGCCGGGCGGGTTTTGTGCCCTCGGTGACATCCCTGGGCTGGGCCCTCCCGCCCTCCCTGCGCACACGGGGCTTGAATAGTTCGGTCTCGAGTTGCACCAGGGGAAGTTCAGGGTTGTGTTAGGGTCCGGAAGGTGTTTACAAGCTGTGGTGCTTGAGGGTTTAGCGGGGAGCTGGGCTGTGCGCCAGGTTAACGGTTGGGCTTCCGCATCCTGAAGGGGTTTTTCTCCAACCGAAAGAATCTGTGAAATAACTGAGGAGTGAACACGCTCCGAGCAGGGAGGGTTGGCGTTACCTGTGCTCCTTCCAGAGGCTGCTGGTCCCGGTGCTGTCACGTTCCCTAGTGAGGCCACCTGACATCAGTGCCAGTTACCTGTCTGCACAAGGCACAGAATTACCTTTTTGGCCGGGAATGCCACCCACCCACTCCACACGCATCTGCAAACCCTGTGGTGTGATCTTGCCCTCTGTCTACTAAGAGAATGGAGTTTCTTTCAGGCCTGAAAAAGGTGAGGAGTTACTGAGGCCCTGTATGTTAAAGCTTTAATTAAAATGTTGTTTAAAAAAAGCTACAAACTAATCCACTTTCTGTGAATGTGCTATCCTTGGCAGAAAACACAAACCAAACAACTCTAAGCAAAATACAGGTTGCTGAAAGTTCTTCATTTTCTTCATTATTGCCTGATAGATTTACACATATCTGCAGCAGCAGGTGCTTTCTAAAAGCTGCTCTGAAAGATCTACTACTGATTTCTTTCTAAACATTCTCTGATCCTGGTGTTTAGGAAGCCTCATCACAAGCCTTTCTTACTGCTGATCAGAGGTTTTTCTTGCAATTCTTCAGCTCCTTTCAATTTTTTCCATTCTCTTGATTTTATATTTCTGCGACAAACTGACATTAATTCACTTTATGACATCAAATTAAGTAGGAATTCTTTAATGTACTCATCAAATTACCCCTGCAATCAGGATAAATAGCACTTTAAAAATCTTATCTATATCTTTTTATTATTTTCACCATCATGCCAAGACTTTACAAGAGGCAATACAAAGAAACAGGAGTCTCTCCCTATTTCTAATGGTGTGAAAAGCTCATGGTTGCAGTCTCACTAAATTTAATGGACAGCCTGAGTGTTTTGTATCTTCTACTTCGAGCTACACCGGTTCTGTTGCAATAGCAGTGATCCTTCTTGTAGTGTTTAATGAATTTCAGAAAGAATAGAGACAAATTGAAGTTTGGTTTACATAAAGTATTATATATGCCATTTGTGAAGAGACTGCAAAGAGCCTTTTAGTTGAGTTACAGACGCTATCAATTGCTCAGTGTTGCAGAAACAGAGACAGGATGGAAACCATAATTTCTTAATGGCTGCTTTATGTGACAGTGGATGAAACTCTGTAAGCTCATAGCTAATGAGCTATAAACTCTGCATTTAGTTTCCAATATTAATATTCTTTTTTTTCATTAGAAGAGCAACCTAACCTAGATCAGTTCCCAACTTGTCAAGAATATAAACTTTAAACTTAGTAAAAAAAAGACTGCTAGTAATACCCAGAAATCCATGCAAAAATTCATGCAGTTTGCACGAGCCCACTTCTCAAACCTGTTAAGGTCCCTCTGGGTGTCATCCCTGCCCTCCCGTGTGCCGACCTCACCAGTGCTTTGGTGTCAGTAGCAAACCTGCTGAGGGTGCACTCAGTACCACTGTCCATGTTGCTGACAAAGATCTTAAACAGACCCAGTCCCAGTACTGACCCTTGGTCACACACAGGTCTCCATCTGGACATCGAGCCACTGATGACCACTCTTTGAGTGCAGCCATCCAGCCAGTTCCTTGCCCAAAGACTGGTCCATCCATCGAATCCGTACTGTTCCAGTTTCCATACCAGGATGTCATGCAGGACAGTGTCAAATGAGTCCAGGTAGATATCGGTTGCTCTTCCTTTGTCCACCAATGCCATGATCCCATTGTAGAAGGCCACCAAATTATTCAGGCACGATTTGCCCTTGGTGTCTGTGTGAACTTCATGTTGGATCATTGGTACAGAAATTTGAAAAACTAGATCCCTGCAAGTGACACCCTGAGATCTGTAATCTGTGCTGATGTGACCAGGTGTGCACTTTGCACCAGTGGCCTCTCAGCTGGGGTCATGCTCTGCACCACAGGTATTACACATGAGCTCCTGTGCTCCTGGAGAGCCTACATAGGGGTTAAGGACTTAGTGTTAGCACTGGAATGTCAGCATTCTGACCCTTCGCTTTTTCTTAATCCTGCAAAGTCAGTTTTGCTCCAAAAATATAGGAGAGAAGTATTTTCTGAACAAAATGGGTGAATTGTAACACTAGGTGGCACTTAAACACAGCTAACGAAGACTTCTAAATCTTGCAACACACTAAAACAGTCAAACACATTCTGTTCTAACATGCAGTTAATTATACCCTCAAAATGATGTCTTGGATTGATATTACTAAACAAACATGTATAAAATGTAATTACAGACAAGTGAAATAAATACTGTATGCTTATAATTGCAAGATATGTTCTTTGCTTGTAATATGCTACACACCTGTGCCTAGTTTATATAGCTAGTATTTTATTTTGTCATTTTTTACTAACATTTAGGATGGTGTGATTTAGCTTTATGTGCTTTTATTTACTGGTACCAATTCTTGCCACATGTCACTTTTAAAAAATGAAATGTTTTTATCTATTGGGATTTTAAAGCAGGAGTATTTCAAATGGAAAACAACAAGAAAGGCATTTTTATGTGAAATCACTTCAAAACTTTTTTTTTTCCCTTTTCTTTTTTAAATGCATGTATTTAGGTTTCTTCTTTGCTTTGCTTTCCTCTTCTTCCTTTACTTACCTTTTGGAGGCACACCTCTATTGTTATGGTAGCCTAATACCCACTTGGAGGTCCAAAGGCTGTCTGTTCATAAACATTTCTTAAGAGGTATCATTGGTAAAACGTCCCAGGCTTGTAAGACAGTCTTAAGATCCATGAAATCACATCACCTTGGGTTCTGGCAGTTTTTCCTGTCTGCAGAAGTGGTTGGCAGCATTTCAATCAACTGCCCAGCAAAACTGCTTGAAGTTACCACAAGCTAGAAAGGCAAAGGGGTGCAGGGAAATGTCCTCCCAGTGCAGGAGCAGGTTAATAAAGCACCAAACCTAGAAAGAGCAAAACTGGACTGCTGGTTCCTCATTCCTGTCACAATCAGGGAGTTGCTCTCCACTGTGGGCACGTCCCGTTCCCACTGTACCACCCTGCTGCAAAAATAGTTGGCCAAACT